CGTTTTTCTCCTTTCTGTCGAGGGCAATCCTTGCCAAAATGGTGAGTTGGGCCAGTTGGTTCATAACGGAAAAAGACAAGCGCCGAAAGACCAGGACAAGGTAAGAAGACGACGACACAAGGCGCCAACTGAAGATTTATGTATGGAAAAACATAGTCTTATACATGGCATTCCGGGCACTTCCGGTCGCCATGACAGTCGGCAGAAATCTTTTCCGGTTCGGGTTTTGTTTACATGTTTTTCAATGGCAACGCGTTCAGCAGGTTGTGTTTGTTCGGTTATTCTGCCCACATATTTTGCGTTTTCTGGGTGTTTACCATTTACGAGGATGCCGCAGAGTTTAACAGTCGGCTTCACAATTTTGTTTCTGTATATTTCTGCGAAATGACGCCGCTGGACGTAAGTGCGTCGATTGCCTGACACAGGCAACTATGGGAGGGAGCTCTTGCGAGTAGCTCCCTGTGCTTCAGCATTTTATATTACCGTTTAGTCAGTTTAGTCTTCTGAACATCAGGTCACAGGGAAGATGCCACAGTGTTGTGCAGTTGGCTGCACAATGCAGGCCGGGACCAACAGACTGTCAAAAGTTAAATTATTTAGATTTCCGAGGAACGAGGGACGCCGCCAAGCTTGGCCCGTCGCTGTTAAACGCGTTGGGTTTGTGCCCAATAACGATACAAGGATTTGCAGCAAGCATTTTACGACTGGTAAGTATGAGTGCTATGTATACTTGTAGAGAAGATTACCGCTTTATTTTGTAAAGCTGCCACGTCCTCAGGCCTTCGCGAGCAGCGCAGCCATAAGTTTCGTTTTGTTTCAACTTCCTCTAGGATCACCATCTGACGATCCCAATCACCCAGACTGGGTGCCACACATCTTTGCTCATCGGGCTTCTTCATCACGGCGGAGCCCTGCTGCACTGCGGCGGTATCATCGTGCGTCGTCACGGATGCGACCCGAAGTGGCCGACGCGCCTGACGCGGCCGGTGCCCCCGACGCACCCGATGCACCAATGGATGAGGAAGAGATAACAGGTGTGTCGTGCGAAACAGATTTGTCTAGCGCTGACATTGACACTCTTCTGGAAGAAAATAGGAGGCTGCAAATGGAAAATCAAGCTCTCAAAGAAGAAACAAAAACTGTGTATGGTAACGTCGACCTCAAGAATGACTCGGAGGTGGAGTTCTTTACAGGATTACCAAGCAGCGGAATGTTCTGGGCTCTGCTCCATTACATTCTGGAACTCTACACTCCAAACTTCAGTGCCAAGATACCGCACTGGAGCCAACTCCTGATGGTGTTGATGAAGCTCCGCCTCGGCCTCCTCAACAAGGACCTATCGTCCAGGTTTGGAATTTCTCCTGGAACTGTATCAAAAGTCTTCCATGCCTGGATTAACATCCTCAGTGTTGAGCTGTCTCCATGCATTCTCTGGCCTAAAGCGGACACAGTTAGACAGCGGCTCCCAAAGCTGTGCAAGGTACCAATCCTACGGAACCTTCGGTGCATCATTGATTGCTCGGAAATCTTCATAGAGCGACCATACACCTTTAAGGCAAGGACGCAAACGTTCTCGTCCTACAAACATCATAACATGGTAAAGTTCTTAATCGCCATTTGTCCAAGTGGAGGGATCTGTTTCATTTCTAAATGCTGGGGTGGGAAGGTGAGCGATCTGGAGCTCACAAGACACTGTGGGTTTTTGGACTTCATTCAGAGTGGGGACCTCGTGATGGCCGATAGGGGATTTCCCATTGAAGAACTTCTAGCTATTCGTGGGGCTTCCCTGATAGTCCCGGCCTATACACGAGGGAAGACTCAGCTAACACGCCAAGAAGTTGAAGTGTCCCGAAGGATCTCCAGTGTTCGGATACAAGTCGAGAAAACCATTGGTCAGCTGAAGAAGTTCCACCTCCTGCAGCGCATCATTCCTGTCTCACTTCTGAAAAAAAAGGGGGACAGGGGCATGGCAACGATTGACAAAATCGTCGTTATATGTGCTGCCCTTGTAAATATGCGCAGTTCAATTTTTGGCAAGAAGAAGGATGGTGGTTCTTGATCTGTTCTTCAAAAAGCATGCAGGATCTTACAAATGCAAACAGCAATAAAGAACTTTTTTATTCACATGAACACACAAAGAGCAGAATGCGTAACTGACAGAAGAGAATATTGCAAAAGAATTGGAACATGCAGTGAGAAGTGAGAGTTGCTAGTTAATGGTGGCTAAAAGGGGCCTCCAGATTGAAAAACTGGTGCAGTGACAATTCTTCTGTAGTAGGAAAAGATACCTAGCACAAAAAGCTAATAAATGTCCTTCAAAACTGGACATTATTTCCCTGCTGGCAATTTCCAACATAGTACACTTATTTGCAGCTCGTGCAATACCACTTCTTTGATGGTTTTCTTTTCAGATTTACACACGTGTAATGGTACCAGATAGTTGTGCATGTGTCCGAGTCACATGCTATCATGCGACCCTTCTCTGGCTTCTTACAAGTGCAGTACACTGCCACAGCAGAACGTCCGCCATCTGGATCTAGCCGCCGCGTGACCAGCTCGGGCAGATAGTGTCTTAAGAAAAAGGATTCCAGCTTTGTCAGAAGCTCCTCCTACAGCTGCTCATCTCTTTGTATCCTTATGGTCACCAGAGAGCACTCCGTCCACACTACAAAATACCCCATCTGAAGCCCAGTGAGAGCCATCTGGCCTTGTAACTGGAAATAATGTGCATGGTTTTCCTTGAGTGTCATGTCTGCGTCAAGATAGAAATCTTTGTCCTTCACTGTGCTTAGATGCACGTGTCTGTATTTGTACGAGCACTTGATCTCGAGCGTAGCATGGGGGCAACATGCACAGCTGACTATCCCATCTGGGCTAGCTCCCAGGTACGGCCACTGTGGATTAACTACGAGTCCCGCCTTTGCAACACTAAAGTCGGTGTGCTTTGGTGCCTCTGTGGCAACGAAGCTTTGCCTTGCAACTGGCTCCTTTTCAATGCCCCACAAAATTTGTGGAGGCACCTGGCCACCGATGTTAGTGTTTGTGGCATAACCCATCACATCTGTAATCAGGTGAGAGATATCACAAGAGCGAATGACATTTTAGCGAACGGCGACATTTGAGCGAATGGTCGTTTTAGCGAATAACGGGGGCGCGCGTTAACCCATCCGTCGCGCTGCGCTTTACGCCGCTTCGCGGCGACAGTCTGCGGCAACTCATTACAAAAATATGAACTCATTTGGCCCACCCGAAAACGCCGCTTCGCGGCGTCCGACTATTCGCTAAAGTGTCGTTCGATGAAACGTGGGCGTTCGCTAAAATGTCATTCGATCAAGTGAGTGCCTCCCGGCCACGTAACTTTCGGCAAAAGCACCAAATCGGATGAGAAAAGAGTCGCGTTCTTGGTGTCATAGGGGTCAGGGAGGCATACTGACCCATGGTAAGTTAGCTTCTCGATATACCGCCTCTTATTTTCTTCTGAAAGGCACTTAAAATATCCACTGCTCATTTTCGCCCATCAAAACACACAGCGAGAGCGCCAGACCGGATGAGACGACTGCCCGCCGGAAGTTCCGCCATGTTTGTTATTGTTTTGCAAGCATGGCGCCACAAGTGGTGCCCCGTGCCTGCAAGCGCGTGCAACGCGCGGGTGAACGTAGCTTTGGCAAGCTCGTAATCGCACGGGCGTGCCTGCTCGAGCAGAGGCATGGCGGCAGCCAGTCGCCCAGCTTGCAATCGTCTATATACACTTTTAAAAAACACCCACGTCACTTTCCACGTGCCCACTCTTTATCCAAGAATAGACACTCTTTTTCTGACAGAGTCACTGAAGGCTCGCTTATGCACTTATCTGCACCCTTCCTTATTGCATACGCCTCATGAATTTCCCTTGTAATCTTTTTGCCGTATCGCCCCAGGATTGCCACGTCATTGAAAATTGGTGTGCACTCACATCGGTTGCAATTGCGACGACACGCGCCTTGTGTCGTCGCAATCCTTGCCCTCCTGCGCCATGACCCCCGCTGCCCTGTTTTTGCGAGGCCCACAAGGCGCGCGCCTGCGTGCCAGGCCGTACGCAGGCAATACTTGTTTGTTTTTGCATACGGCGGACTAGAGATTTTTTTTTTTTCAAATATGAAGGCAGTTTTGTTTTTTAATGTGAAGAAACTATAGCCCCTGTGCCCCTTTATTGGAGTTGCTAAGCATGGGAAGACGTCGCGATCAGCTAATGAAATAATGCGAGCGGAGTTGGAAACGCTCGGATGCAGACAAAACTTTCTGTAATTCCTCCGAGCGCTGACGATATATAAAAAAAAAAAAAAAAAAAAGAAATGGCAATGTAGTTTTGAGTATCTCGGGACATCGGCATGCACTGCCAAAATATATTGCGCTTACCCGTTTATTACAGGAAGAGCTGAGAGAAGGCACACGATAGAATGCGGTTCTCCCTGCGTGTAAATAGAATTTCGTACACTGTTAGCAAAAATAACACGCCCAGACGTGTAAACCGTTGTCCCATAGCGGACGCGTCGAAACGTGTTCGTTTTACACGAGGCCATCTATGTTTTTCGTCTACACATGAGGTGCTGTGTAAACTTAACACGCTACACCGTGTCTGCCTTCCGCAAAACCGTTTCGAGCGTGTTCCTTATGAAACATGGCGGCCAGCGGCCGAGAACAGGCGAGAGACGAGCCCTGCGAGCCGTGCGCCTTTCAGCCGAATTGAAAGCACACAGGGCGCGTTAGTTCTCGTTCGATGTTTTTTATACACAGTAAAGTCTCCAAGCGGCGGACGTAGCTACTTGCAAAGGTACTACGTGCGTTGTCGGCGGTCGGCGGCGTCAGTAGCTTCAACAAACCGCTAGACAAAAAAAAAAATCGAATGCCGAACTCACATGGATAAATAACTTGAGCAAACTATTTAGAATCGGGCGGTAACTTGCGCCACCTATCGAGATTTCTAGCAGCCTGTTTAAAAAAAAAAGACGAGTCTGTTAACACTGCGAACGACCACGACTACACAGCAACCCTACATACAACGCAGGAAACACAGGACACAACAACCCACCACCGACATGTACACAACATAGAGATCATACATACTAACTCTAGAGGAAAAGGTCCGCCATTTTCCCATACATTCTGGCTGCCGCAAGCGGCGGATCATGCAGGCAGACCCTCGGGGTCCCAAACGCGGTTACATCATCAGAGCAGTTTCGTGAACTTCAACAATTCACGAACTTACCGGTGGAAAGATATTCGCGTTCCTTTCGAAGCTTTCTTTTTGCATAGCGCGCTGATGTACGGCCTCGCACTAACGCTAAACTAAACCATATACCCGGCTACGTTGGTGGGGCGCGGGTGGGCGCGGTTGAGGAATACGAAACTGCGCAACTACCAGATTTCCGAGATTTCGACAGAAGTGAAGTTAATGCAGCGTAATGACTTTATTGCTTTTTATAAGCTTTAAAATAGCTCAGAATTTAGTTTAAAACGTTAAATTATCACTGTTTATATTGCTGAGAGTTTTCACTCTTCGCGTTTACCATGGCAACGTTGCTTTCTTTCTCTCGTGTTCTGTCGCTCTCTTTCGCGATCTTTCACTCGGGACCCCGGGTGTCGGCGCACGGGATTCGCCACTCCTCCTCACCTACCTTTACCCCCCTGGACCCCTGGTACACAAACACAACAACCAACACTACGCCCGACACTTCCTACTCGATATCCGTTTCTCCCCGCGGCGCATATAAGCTTGACATGTGCGGGTGAGCTCTTTGGTCGCTGACCATTACAGATTTATAGAAGAATACACAAAACACGGCGCAATGGACAGCCGTGTGTTAAAACTGTTTGCATTTAAAAAGTATGGAGGCAAAATCTATAATGTTAGTCCGTTGCAATAAATAACGATATGTTAACAATAAATCTTAAACCGGTCATGGAAAAGTTCAAATGTTTGTTATTTTCTTGCTTGACCAGTGTTATGAGCAGTCCGACTAGCTTGAATCAGATAGGAAAACAAATTATTGGGATTTTGTCATTACGTGTACAATAATAAATGAAAATGATCCTTGCGCAAAGCATTTTTTATATATTTTTGTGAAGGACATCCGCCTAGCACTTCACTTCCGCTAGTTCAACAGTTGCAGTACGGGAGCAGACGCCTTCACTTTTGGGGCGTTTTGATGCAGTTTGTTGTCGTATGTCGTGTCGGTGTCGAGAAGACCGGTGGGGCTTGGGAGTTTGTGACCGGTGTTATTCGTGAACACTGGTGTGGGGCGCTGATGCGTCTTTTTTTTATACTGCCACCACCCCGAACTTTGAAGATACACGGGCCCGTTGCAGTGCATTATGCTGAATCGCGAGCTCCTTCTCTGTTGACGTCGCTTTCCTGGTACCACTCGTGGATACTGCAAGCGTTTAAACAGTGTGCACCGTCTCGCCTACATCCCCGGTGACGTACTCGACCTGTTGAAACTTATTGCTTCCGTCATTTTAGAGTACGCAAGGCAGTTATTTCGTTGGTCTGGTTTCGGTTATAAAAGCAAGGCAAAACGCTCGTAGTTCCCGCCCTCAGTACACGTTGGACATCTTCCACACTTTGACACCGGATAACTGAGTGAACGAGGATTTACATTCACTTCCGAGGTTACTCTCGCCGCTTCCTCACCGTTGAGCAGCAGGATGAGCTGGCGACAAGCCGCGGATGAAAGGCTTGAGCATCAACAGCCCAAGCGCACTCGGTGCCGATGCGGGCGACGCGGGTTTCTGTCAACCGGGAGGCCAGCACAAACCGTGACCGTTCCAGCTCTTCGTCATGACACGGTGTTGCAGAGAGCAGTGTAAAATACAGCTACACGGATCACCGAAGCAAACGACTGCTATCTTAAATCTTGGCTTGTGATTGCGCCTTTGTAGTAGATCATCTTATTCGTTTTGTTGGAGACGCGAACGACGGGCATAACAAAATCGCTTGCATATTCCGCATATCTCACAAAAGCATTTACCCTGTCACCTTGCGAAAAGCGCGAAACACGGAGTCCGCACCGTCCTAAGCTTCCCGTTTTTTACCTGCTTTAGAGCAGTTTGTACCTGCTAGTAGATATGCCTACCGAAACTGAAACAGGGCAGTGCCAGAGAGAAAGAGACAAAGTTGGGAAAGCTTGCTCGCTCTCCAATTTCTTAACTCTCAAGTGATTGTACCATAATAAATGCACCAACGCGTCTTCCAAAATAAAGAAAGAGCACTACGTTCACAACATAAAAAATGGTCAACATAAAAAATGGTCTGTGGGCAGGTAGGAAACCTTGCCCTA